ACTACATGTTCATCTAAAATGGAACGAAATTCTTTTCAGGGATATTACAGTTCACCATAGTTAAGATCAGAATGGACTTAGTCATCTGAACAGTATTTTCTTTGTTTTTTCAATGAAGTACAAGAGCGTGAAGGAAAAGTAAAATCTAGCCAAGCTTGACTTTATAAGATATATATTTATATGTGTATATATTTCAGTCAAGTCCGACGCCGTTTTATTAAATTTTATACTGATATTTGCTTTGAACGTTTCAAAGATTTTGGTTCTACTTCGTCGTGTCCTTGGCTGTGTCCTCTCTTCATGCTCTGATTAAAGAAGTCAAACTTCTGCGGATCAGTTGATCAATTTTGTGACAGTCTAATGATTCTAAATTCCCTCAATTTCAACCTGTTTGTTGCAGCTTCGAGTTCGTGGTGACCTAGACGACGTCCGTGCCCATGCGTCAGAGGGAGACATTGTTTACTGATGTTAATCGAAGTTTGGTCCAAAATAATGTAATGGGTTTTATAGTATCCCATCTCACAATAAAATGTATTCTTACCGGACGAACTGAAGCAAGATCCAATAATGTAACGATTCTATAGAACATCTCTCCCTCTCCCTCCGCGCGAGCGCACGCGTGCATGTGCGTTTGAGCTCGACACCATCATCAAGCTTGTTGCCGATTGGTAGAGCTTGACGGTCTGTCAAGCTCACTCTCGATCATTATTGTATATCAAGAAAGAGAAGGCAAAGAAAGCTCGATCGGACTCAATTACGGGTTTGCTAGTATTAGTCAGCACATAAACGTGTTAAAAGAATGGATTTCATTAACCACTGGAGAAAAGGAGGGAATTGATTTGAAAGGATTAAGTTAGAATGTAGTTGGGACGCGAACGAGGGAAAATTAATGAAAGAATGCATATATAGAGATAAGATATAAAACAGTGTCATTAGTGAAGAAGAAGAAGAAGAAAGAATTTGTTTATACAAATTAATGAACTATATGAAAATGTTCAATGTAGTCCCTGAACTTAAATTAATGGAAAGACTATATTGAATATTTTCATATAATTCAGGAACTAAATTAAACATGTACCAAAAGTCTAGGGACTACATTGAATAAATTGAAAGTTCAAGAACCACATTGTATATTAGGCTAAAGTTCAAGGACTACATTGAACGAATTAAAAGTTCAATGATCAAATTGCACATTGAACCAAAGTTTAGGGACTGTTTGTGTCATTTTCCCATTGATAAATCAGTCTCGCTAGATGGTATTATTAGATTACAAGCAGGAAAATCACCAAAAAAGTCCTAAATCGATTGCAATTATGACAATTAAGTTTTAACCCTTTTGCATTTGTGCCAATTCAGTCTATTCGGCAAATTTTGGCAGCCTAGCACTGATATGGATGTTGGCCGGCCGGCCAACGCTAACATGACAATTTTTAAAACATTTTTTTTCGATTTTTTTATTTTTTTATTTTTATTTTTCCCTTTTCTTTTTTTTTTTCCCTCCCTTCATCTTCGACTTCTAGCCGGTCGCCAGTTCTGGCGATTGACCAAAGTCGGGGGCTGGCAAGGTCGGCCTTGCCTGCCCCTAGCAAGGCTCGATCTCGCCGTTGTTGGGCGAGGACGTCCTCGTCGACAAATGGCTAGGTCGGCCTTGCCTGCCTCTGGTGAGGCTAGACCTCGCTCAACCATTAATGAGGCCGACCTCTCCAGATCTGGCATGGCTTGTCCTTGCCGTCACTCGCAAGCTCGAGCCTCGCCAGCAATTGGCGAGTTTGGCCTTGCCTGCCCTGGTGAGGCTCGTCCTCGCGCTCGCCAGCTATCGGCAGGGCCGACCTTGCCGGCCACCCACCTCTGGCGGGTTGCTGGTTCCGGCAACCGACCAGAGGTTGGAGATGAAGGGAGGAAAAAAAAAAAGAAAGGGAAAGAATGGCGACCGGCTAGAGGTTGAAGATGAAGAGAGAAAAAAAAAAAGAAGAAAGGGAAAGAGAAGAAAAAAAGGAAAAAAGAAAAGAAAAGAAAAAATAATTAATATGAAAAAAACATTTAAAAATTATTAAGTCAGCGTTGGCCGGACGGCTGGCCAAAATGGGCCGGATGGACTGAATTGGCATAAATAAAAAATATCTAGGACTGAATTGGCATAATTACAATAGGTTTAGGACTATTTTGGTAATTTTTCCAATTATAAGCGGGCATTAACTGAACCATTGAAAAGGACTTGCAGCCTATATGCTCCCCACCAATTTAAAACAAGTTGAAAACAATGTTTTTCACTTCCTGAGTTACTGATGCTTCCCTCATTTCTTCGCCTACATCCAGGTTTGCCAAGACAATTCCATGCTCCATACCAGACTGATTGCTTGAGCTCCCAAGATTGTTAATGTATATTCATATTCGTGAATATAAAGAAGAAAATTTATAGTTTCGATTTCCTATTGCAAGATGAGCCATTGTCTCAATGAGGATCTATGCTTTTATAAATTTGCTAGGAAGTTTAGATATTTTAACTGGAATTTTGTTTATCAGAAATCGATATCTAATGACAAGGGAAGACTTCGCCTAGGATTGCTAAGCTCGCTTCGACGCTTGTATATAGTTGCGCAAGTGAGATTGTTTCGTTGTCTTAGAATTGCCGGTCAATTTCTCTCCTATACGCAGCTAAGTCGTGGTGCTATTTTTAGAACTCATACATGACTGCGTCAGATTTGCGTGAAAGAAAATTTGTAGCACCAATTCCACCTCTCTTTTGACAATTGGGAGAAGAACTAAATTGAACATGTACAAAAAATTCAGGGACTACATTGAATAAATTAAAAGTTCAGGGACCACGTTAAACATTGGGTTAAAGTTCATGGACCATTCGTGTCATTTTCCTTCTGAATTAAAACGAATTCTAGGCAGTTTTCGAAGGTTTTATAGGTCTCGATTGATCATTTATGAGTTATGTTAATAACAAGTAGAAGTAAGCAAGATGGACTGCCCAAACCGGGACTAGATTGGACCGGACCGGACCGACCGGTTTGGTTCCCGATTCCTAAAAGTGGAACCGGTTTCTAGGCAGTCCGGTTCCCGGTTCTAGGGTGGGAACCGGACCGGACCGGACCGAACCGATAAATATATATTTTTATAATTTTTTCATATATATAATATTTAATATATATATATATATATGAAAAATATTTAATATTGGTCCCATTGGAATCGATTGATCAATTTTTTCGTATATTATATATATTTTTCAATTTTTTTCATGGCCTTATGGGATCAAATCAAAACTACAAAAGAAAGAATAGAATAATTGATTCTTGGTTTATAAATAATATTTAATATTGTTCGAATCCCGGGTGCCGCAGGGTGACTTAACCGGTGCACGTGTGTGGTGGCTAGCACGTGTCGCCCCCAGGGTTTACCTCCCGGCTATCGACCGTGCGGGGGTTCCCTGGGTCATCAAAAAAAAAATATTTAATATTGATCCCATTAGAACCGGACCGGACCAATGGGAACCGGTCCGGTCTCTGGTCCTAGAAACTAAGAACCAGTTTTCCCGGTCTAGTTCCCAGTTCTTGGATTGGACCCGATCGGACTAGGAACCGCTTACCCCTAATAACAAAAGCTGAGACATCCTTTTCAGCAAAACGGCTCCTTTGACTCCTAGCAAACAGAGAAACAACACGTGTTGCCCACATCACAGGCCAATGGCCCTCATCTGCGTTCTCAACCAAAAAGTATAAAATATAATGCATGATGCACCGTCAGCTCCGGCGTTGCCCAAAGAAAAATCGAACCAGATCCTCACGAAGCAACGTGTGGAAAGTTGCAAGTAACATCAGCAGATGGTGGGATGCTGTCGATCGATTCTTGCACGTAAGCCGAGCCGACCACCCTATGGTGGGGTGTATCGGACTGTTTTTGCAGGCATTGACGTTGACTTCCGCATCGGCGAATCCTGTCTACCATTTCGCTAGACCCATCAAATAAGTGGATCGGATCGAGTTTGGGTCGGATCATAAATGGTCCGATCTAAATTGACCCATTAACCCGTTTATGATCAATTTATGCGCAATATAATTTTCTTGATCCATACCCGATCCGATACATACCCAACCCATACCCATATTGCTAAAACACTTATATATCTAATTAAATATAGACAAATTCATACCCAAGTTGAAATGAGAGTGCGGAATGAGTGAGTGCAAGATTAAGTGAGGGTGTGAGAGATGCGTTAAGTTTAAATCAATTGTAAACTCATTTACGACCAATTTAACACCAATATAAGACTTCTACCAATTTATGACCCATTTATTAAATATAACTAACCAATTTATGACCCATTTATTAATATATGGGTTAAAAAATGAGTTTATGACCTATTTTGACAGGTCTACATTTCTCTGTTACCCCCATGGATTGCTTGCTGCATCATCTTGCTGTTCCTCAATCACCATCGGATGTCCTTGCGCGAAGGACGGTTGATTCATGAGGAACTGACTAGTATAACTCGGTTCTACACGTGTCGCGATTGACAAAGTTCACCGTCATTTGGGAACCACTTCATCTCAATCATTATTAAATTGCGTGAATTTCACTTGAGATTCACATGATTTATGATGTGATGATTGGGATGTAACAACTTCACATGCATTTGGACTTGATAAAAAGAGTCTCCAAAAGATTAAGCCAAGAGCCATCAAACCTGAAGAATACCACATGGAAGCCCAAGCAAGTATTTTATGAGGCCAGTACATGTATTAATTATAATTTAATCGGGATCGTCGGATTTGGAGAACCCAAATGGGACCCACCATTTTCGATGGTCCAAACTCAATTTAGAATCTCCCCATCTCGATTGATTTGAGCACAAGAAAGGCCTTATTCACGTGAAATTTCCTAGTCACGGTGGTTATCCACGCTTCTCTAAACCTAATGTTTCTAGACTAGAGTTAGGTTAAGAGTCAGAACTTTAGGATTAATGCGAAACTTAAGCCACAACATGCGCATGTGGTCCGATCAATCCTGTATAAAACCAGCTCAAACGTGTACAACCTCATCCATGTAACTCATCGAAAATGGCTTCCAACGATAATCACATCCTTCTCTTTTTCTGCTTCTCCTTTCTCTCTCTCCTCCAAATTAACTCGTGCATGGCCCAAAACATCAAAGGAGGCTATTGGTTCCCGGGCAGCGGCGTCGCCGCCTCCGACATCGACTCGACCCTCTTCACTCATCTCTTCTGCGCGTTTGCAGACCTTGATGCGTCGACGAACCAGGTGGTCATATCGTCGTCAAACGCTCAGTCTTTCGTGGCCTTTACTAGTGATGTCCAGCAGAAGAACCCGTCGGTCATAACCCTCCTGTCCATCGGGGGCGGCGGCTCGAGCGCGGATGACTTTGCATCCATTGCGACCCAGTCTAGCTCCCGAAAGACTTTCATCGATTCCTCCATAGCCCTAGCTCGGTCCAACGGCTTTCACGGCCTTGATCTTGATTGGGAATACCCGGACACTGATGCGAAGATGGCCAACTTGGGGTTGCTCCTCCAGGAGTGGCGGACTGCGGTGGCTGCTGAGGCGGCCAGCTCGGGCAACGATGCTTTGCTTTTGTCGGCGGCAGTCTATTACTCGTCGCACTACTGGTCGCCCACGGATTATCCTGTGGCCACCGTGGCAGCGAGCTTGGATTGGATCAACGTGATGGCCTATGATTTCTTTGGCAATTGGTCCCCCACCACAGGACCACTTGCTGCGCTCTATAATCCAGGTAGGGGAGGCAACTTTGACTTTTTTCTGGGTTATAAACTTTGACTATCCTGAGGTACAATGAAGTTTTGTTAATCTTCTGTCTCATTGACTTTGAAATTTGTTGCCACAACGTCAAGAGAATCACAAACTTGTAATTTTCTCGACATATGCGGCATCTGAAATCGGTCCTTTCAATTTCAGGGAACGGCTTAAGTGGAGACGACGGGGTGACCACTTGGATTCAGGCCGGCATGCCGGCAGGGAAGATCGTGCTAGGCTTCCCATTCTACGGCCGCGCATTCGTCCTCGCGGATGCCAACAACCATGGCTACTTCGCGCCCTTCACTGGGGCGGCGGTATCCTCCGATAGGTCGATTGTGTACAATCAGATCACGGCGTACATATCCCAAAACAGCGCGACCACGGTGTACAACTCCACGGTCGTGTCTGCCTACTTCTATTCTGGGACGACATGGATCAGCTACGATGATACGCAGACCATCTCTACCAAGGTTGCGTACGCCAAGGGAAGAGGACTTAAAGGTTACTTTGCATGGCACGTTGGTGGTGATGACAACTGGGTTCTCTCTCAAACAGGTGAATTTTTATCAGATTCGTGTTGCACGCCATTGACCATGCATTGGAAGCTTTCAAAGTTACATTCTATTTCCCAAAGTTTAGCCCTAACCCTAGCTTACATGCAGTACAGTTAACCGAACCGTTATCTTCCAAATGAAATCGAATCATGTCCCCTTGTGTTTAGATCAAATTTGCACTGCATGTTCATCTAAAATGGAATGAAATTCTTTTCAGGGAAAAGTAAAATCTAGCTAAGCTTTACTTTATAAGATATATATTTATATGTGTATATATTTCTGTCAAGTCCGACCCCCGTTTTATTTAATTTTATACTGATATTTGTTTGAACGTTTCAAAGATTTTGGTTCTACTTCGTCGTGTCCCTGGCTGTCTCCTCTCTTCATGCTCTGATTAAAGAAGAAGTCAAACTTTTGCGGATCAGTTGACCAATTTGTGACGGTCTAATTCTAAATCCCTTCAATTTCAACCTGTTTGTTGCAGCTTCAAGTTCGTGGTGACCCAGACGACGTCCGTGCCCATACATCAGAGGGAGACCTCATTTACTGATGTTAATCGAAGTTTGGTCCAAAATAATGTGATGGATTTTATAGTATCCCATCTCACAATAAAATGTATCCTTACCGGACGAACTCAAGCAAGATCCAATAATGTAATGGATTTATAGAATATCTCTCTCTCTCTCCCTCCGCGCGAGCGCACCTGTGCATGTGCGTTTGAGCTCGACACCATCGTCAAGCTTTTCACCGATTGGTAGAGCTTGACGGGCACCTCAAGCTCACTCTCGATCGTTATTGTATCTCTAGAAAGAGAAGGCAAAGAAAGCTCGATCGGACTCAATTACGGGTTTGCTAGTATTAGTCAGCACATAAACGTGTTAAAAGAATGGATATCAATAACCACTGGAGAAAAGTAGGGAAATGATTTGAAAGGATTGAGTTAGAATGTAGTTGGGACGCGAACGAGGGAAAATTAATGAAAAGAATGCATAAATAGAGATAAGATATAAAATAATGTCATTAGTGACGAAGAAGAAGAAAGAATTTGTTTGTACAATATACAAAAATTTGGAGAGATCAGGAGGGATTTACATGGAAAAACTTTAATAATCCCCCCTCATCCCGTTCTCTCCATCTTGACGAGATTGTAATTTTAGGCTACATTCGCTTCGTGAAAAATGTAGCATTTCTAGAAAATATTTTCCAAAAGTCTAACAATATTTTCCGGTGTTTAGCTAAAATTTCAAATGATCTAGAAAATATTTTCCGCCGTTTGGTATGGAAAATCTAATTTGATTTTCCTAAAATAAATTACCAAAATATTCAAATTTTATTTTTTTCTTTTTCTTTTTCCTTCTTCTTAGGCCGGTTGCTGACTATTAAGATATGAAATCTATGAAATCTTTTTGATATCTTTTTGAATTTCAAATTAGCTTACCAATTATAGATGAGTTGGCATTCCTTGATTTTTGCTCTACCAAAGATTGTATTTTTTTCTTCTCTTTATAAACGTGTACAATCTGTAAATATAAAGTAATGAAAATCATTCACAAACTGTTAAATATGTGTTGAATTTTATGTACTCGGTCCGGTTCATCACCCGACCCGACATATTTTTTGTGCGACCCGAAAGTGGAGAAAAAATTGAGATTTGGTTCGCGATGCGGAGGGTTGGGCCGATAGGGTTTTTTGGGAGCACTATTTATACTGCGGCTAGGGTTTTTCATTGTGTACAGAGAGAATTTTGTTTTAGGAGAGTTTTGTGAGCCGTGAGCTTTTGTCGTTATTTCGACTTCTGAAAACTGTACTCTCCTTTAATTATAGTGGAATCTTGTCTTGCCTCGCCCGTGGACGTAGATCACCTTGTGATTGAACCACGTAAATTCCTGTGTTCTGTATTTGTTTTTCCGCGTCTGTTTACAACACAAACGTTGAGCCTTTATATGGTATCAGAGCTAGACGGGTTGGAATACTGCTCTGAGGGGGGCTCTAGGTGGAAGAGGTGAACTTTGAGAGGATGACAAGACACTCTTAGAATTGAGAAGTGTTTGGTATGGGAATTTGTTTTCTTCGAACACAACATGACGCGAGATATAGAGATGATTATTTTGTGGATCAAAACATTTGTACGCACTTTGTGACAACGAATACCCTAAGAATATACATTGTCGAGAACGGGGCATAGCTAGAATGGGTGTTGGCAAACGATTAATTAGGTATGTAGCAGTTTGAAACGCACATGATCAAAAAGAGGGTGGTAGGTTTGCTTTGTGTAATAGGGCGAGTCCGATTTCAACTATGTGTAAGTGTTTTCTTTCTGCGGTTCCATTGTGTTTCGGAACAATGGAACCGCAACTCACCCGAAACCCAACTTGCCACTATCAACAATGACCAAGCATCAGAACCCATAAATCCACCTACTCGAACTTACAAAATGACCACTAGATCCCAAAATAGTATTTTCAAGTCCAAACAAATCAACCACATTACCACCAAACATCCATTTTCACCGACTATAGAACCAACAAGAATTACACAAGCTATGTGCGATCCTCAATGGCGTGAAGCAATGTCAGCTGAGATCAATGCCCTTATTCGTAACGGGACTTGGGAACTAATACCTTTTTATCCATCTTTGAATGTTGTAGGTTGCAAATGGGTTTATCGGATAAAAAGAAGTGCGGACGGTAGTATTGAGAGGTACAAGGCACGTCTTGTGGCCAAAGGTTTTCACCAACAACCGGGCCTTGGTGACACCAATACATTTAGCCCGGTCATCAAACCAAATACCATTCGGGTGGTCTTATCATTGGCTCTAATGCGTGGATGGACATTGAGACAAATGGACGTCAACAATGCCTTCCTACAAGAAACTCTCCAGGATGAGGTCTACATGTCACAACCGCTCGGTTTTAAAGACCCAGAAAAACCAACACACATTTGCAAACTTCGGAAAGCCATATATGGGTTAAAGCAGGCTCCGTGGGCTTGGTACAATGAGCTAAGTTCATTCCTTCTTGCAAATTCATTTGTAAATTCAAAGAATGACAGTTCACTGTTCATTTACTTTCATGATGGCATTCAAACCTATTTTCTAGTGTACGTAGATGACCTCGTTATCATAGGAAGTGATCATAATTTTGTTCGGACTTCATCACCGCTCTCTCTAATCGGTTCTCAATTAAAGACTTAGGGCCACTGAATTCTTTTTGGGAATTATAGTCATTCCTACAAAGATCAGCTTACTTCTTTCTCAACATAAATACATAAGAGAGCTACTTGAACGCTTTAAAATGGTAGATGCAAAAGAGGTCGGGACACCATTAGCCACGGGTCAGTCTCTTTCGATCCATGACAAAGAACCATCAGCTAATGCTACAGAATTTCGAAGCCTCATTGGCGCACTTCAATACCTCAACATTACTCGCCCGAACCCTGGTTTTGCGGTAAACAAGCTATCTTAATTCATGCATAAGCTGACCACAATCCATTGGATAGCTGCAAAATGGCTCTTACGCTACGCTATCTTAAGGGAATGTTATTCCATGGGTTGCACTTGAGACGCGACACAAAACCTGTGCTTCATGCCTACACCGACGCAGATTGGGCAGGTAACATTGATGATCGCACATTTACTTCGGGTTTTGTCATTTATATTGGGGCCAATCCTATCTCCTGGAGTTCTCGGAAGTAACGATCGGTTGCACGGTTATCTACTGAAGCATATTACCGAGCCATTGCCACGGCCTCGGCAGAACTCATTTGGGTAAAATCTTTGCTTCAAGAACTTGGCATTCACATGGACACGGCACCGAGCTTGTATTGCGACAATATAGGCACTACTTATGTTTGTGCAAATCCTGTCTTCCATTCCCGAATGAAACACATTGAGATAGATTACCATTTCGTTCGGGAACTTGTTAAAGCCGGTAAGATGCGAGTCTCCCAGATTTCCACCCATGATCAACTTGTAGACATTCTCACAAAACTGTTATCAAGGCTGCGGAATACAATTACGAGACAAGATGGGCGTTTCCGATGGAACGTCCATCTTGCGGGGCATGTTAAAATATGAAATCTTTTTGATATCTTTTTGAATTTCAAATTAGCTTATCAACTATAGATGAGTTGGCATTCTTTGATTTTTGCAACTATAGATGAATTGGCATTTCTTGAATTTTGCTCTACCAAAGAATGTATTTTTTTCTTCTCTTTATAAACGTGTACAATCTGTAAATGTAAAGAAATGAAAATCATTAACAAACGTTGAGCCTTTATATTGACCACATCGATGACTGGCGATCAGCCAAAGGCGAGGGGCGAGCTTCGCTAAAGGTCCGCGAGGCTTGAAGCTCACCAGGGCCTCATTACAGGCCTGCAAGGCTGGAGATCGCCCGAGCCGTAGAGTCCAGTCAGTCTCGCGATCTCATCCTATCAAAAAATGAGTCGTCTCTATGCACACGTTGCAAGATTCTGCTGAAAGTAATCCTTGAACAACAAACAGTAGAGGAACCAACCGTCGACCACTGATTGCCCGAAGAAGCGACGATTTCCTACGTAAGTACACCGACTGCCTGGAGAAGCACTGGCGCTTGAGTTCTCGTTTCCTACGTAACACCCGATTAAGGGCCCCAGCAAAGCGGTCTTCTTCCCTCCTCCCGTAATCTCAAACCACCACTTCTGCTTTCACATTCGCTTCCGAGCTCGTCTCTCATGGCGGGCGAAGGCAAACTCGCCTGTTTCTTAATCTTTTTCCTCTGTCTCCACCCATCTTCGGAGGAACGAACGTGGGTCGAGTCCGGTTACTTCTACGCCGGCAGCGAAATCCCGGTCTCGGACATCGATTCCTCCTTGTTTTCTCACCTCATATGTGCTTTCGCTTTCATCGGCTCTTCGACCCATCAGCTCTCCTTCAACTCCTCCACCGAACAAATCTTCTCCGCCTTCACGAGCACCGTGAAACGCAAGAACCCTTCGGTCACCACGCTGCTGTCGGTGTGGGCAGGCGGAGATGATCCTTCGGCTTTCACTTCGATGCTTGGTGGGTCTTCTTCAAGAAGGTCCTTTACCGAGTCTACGATAGAAAAGGCAAGGCTTTATGGCTTCAATGGGGTTGATCTCTGTGGGGTCTTGCCCAGTAGGAGCACAAACAGGACCGATTTGAGTGCTCTTTTGGGGGAGTGGAGAGATAGAGTAGTTGCCGAATCAACAAAATCTGGGAAACCTCAGTTGCTGCTAGTAATGGCTGTGTATTGTGAATCCATTGCTGACTCTGTGAGTTACCCACTTGACTCAATTCAGAGCAAATTGGACTGGGTTCACCTAATTGCTTATGATTACCATCTCCCCACCAGGGAAAAATTTGTCCTCCCTCATGCAGCTTTATTTGACCCAGCAAGCCAGAACAACACAGACTTCTGCATCACTTGGTTGTTGACTAGAGGATTTCCTGCAAGAAAGCTGGTTCTGGGCTTGCCCTACCATGGCTATGCGTGGCAGCTTGAGGATTCAAGCGACGATGTCATTGGCCATCCGGCGGTGGGGCCTGCTGTGACGGCGGATGGGTCATTCGGATACAAGGCCATAAGATCATACATCCGAGATTTCGGTTATGGAGCCAGTTCTGTTTATAATGGTACATATGTGGTGAATATTTTCAGAAAAGGGTTGATATGGATCAATTTCGATGATGTGGAGGCCATTCGAGCCAAAGTAACTTATTCCAAGGGAAAAGGGCTTCTTGGTTACAATGTGTTTCAGGTTAACAACGATCAGAACTGGGTTCTTTCCAGGACAGGTTAGGATAACTACCTCACAGGAATTCTTGATGAAGGTTTCAAAATATTATTGTACTGAAAATGTAGAACTAAATGTAATTCATGGACTGAACTGCCTTGTCAGCTCAAGAAGCCAGTGAAGATCAGCAAAACAGGCGATGGTTCCGGCTAGTTATGCTTATTTCGATTGCTATAGTTGTTCTCTTTATATTTGGCCTGATATGCTACTTAACGAGGAGAACATTGAAATCAAAAGGTACATTTTGTAAAGTTCACTGGAGGATTACTATAACTCTGTGGTAATCAGGAACATTGACTTTGGAAGGATTAAAGTTCTAGATACATTTTCTTGATTTTGATTCTCAGGTATTTCGGGTGTAATAAAAGGATTTAGTAGCCGATTAAAGACTATGGTGTGTAAAGGTGAAAGTCTTGAGAGTGGTGCTCCTAATCTGCAAACATTTCGTTATGCCACTCTCAGAGCAGCAACTGATAACTTCTCCAGTGAAAATAAGCTCGGAGAGGGTGGATTTGGACCTGTTTACAAGGTAAAATATATTGAGGCCATAAATCCTAAGAAGTGTGAGCCATGATTAAGTGCCAGATGCGGTACTGTTGCTCTATATTGTGTGTTTGTTGTTGTTTAAATGTGAGCAAGGGAAATAACTCACCCCCAAATACCTTTCACTCCTTTTGCTCAAGAACATGTGGTCTTTGTTGTTTATAGTCTTGACTTATTATTGAGAAGGTGAAAGTAATGGGAACTTGCTACCATTACTATGAGAGAAAGCAAATGTTTCTCTATGTTGATTGAAGGTATGCCAGCTGATTGATTTATACTCGCAATTTCAATCATTCAGTTGGAATGGACTCCCCACAATAAGTTTGAGATATTTAGAGATGCTGCATAGGTTTCTTTACGATGTATGTGAGCTTGTAAGTTTCATTACAGGAGGTTGGACACGGCATGACAAGACCCAGAAAGAAATATCCGCAGCCACGACCAGCACCGAAAGGCACCTGAAGGCTCAAAAAGTCAGTGTCGCGCCCGATGAAAGTGAACTCTCCCTATGCAAACATTGCAAGATATTGTTGAAAGTGAACGTACAACAACTACAGTCGAACGAACAACCGTCATGCACTGATTACCTGAAGGAGCAACGACTCTGTCTCATTTCGTACGGACAATACCGATTAAAGACCAAGGCAAAGGCGTCGTCGCCTTCCTCCTCCCATCGACTCAAACCGCCACTTCTTGCTCTCACGTTATCTTCCGAGCTCTCTTTCATGGCGGGCAAAGGCAAACTCGCCTGTTTCTTCATCTTTTTTCTGTCTCTACCCATCTTTGGAGGAATAGACGTGGGTCAAGTCCGGTTACTTCTACTCCGGCAGCGAAATCCCGGTCTCGGACATCGATTCCTCCCTGTTCTCTCACCTCATATGTGCTTTTGCTTCCATCGGCTCTTCGACCCATCCGCTCTCCTTCAACTCCTCCTTTGAATAAATCTTCTCCACCTTCACGAGCACCGTGAAACGCAAGCCTTCAATCACCACGCTGCTGTCAGTGTGGGCAGGCGGAGAGGATCCTTCAGCTTTGGCTTCGATGCTCGGCGAGTCTTCTTCAAGAAGGTCCTTTATCGAGTCTACTATAGAAAAGGCAGCGCTTTATGCGTTCAGTGGGATTGATCTCTTTGGAGTCTTGCCCAGTGGGAGCATTAACATGACCAATTTGAGTGCTCTTTTGGGGGAGTGGAGAGATGGAGTAGATGCCGAATCAAGAAAATCTGGAGACCTCAGTTGCTGCTAGTAATGGCTGTGTATTGTGAATCCATTGCTGGCTCTGAGAGTTACCCACTTGACTCAATTCAGAGCAATTTGGACTGGGTTCACCTAATTGCCTATGATTACCATCTCCCCACCAGGGAAAAATTTGCCCTCCCTCATGCAGCTTTGTTTGACCCAGCAAGCCAGAACAACACAGACTTCTGCATAACTTGGTTGTTGACTAGAGGATTTCCTGCAAGAAAGCTGGTTCTGGGCTTGCCCTACCATGGCTATGCGTGGCAGCTCGAGGATTCGAGCGACGATGCCATCGGCCATCCAGCGGTGGGGTCTGCTGTGACGGCAGATGGGTCATATAAATATAAGGCCATAAAATCATGTTGGGTTTTCTACGGAACATGTATAGTTAAAATTAAATACAAACGCAGTGCAAAGATATAACCATTTATATATCTTCAAAGGTGTTGTTTATACGTTTCAATAAAAAATCGGAAGATCATAGGAATTGAACGGATTACCTCTCGTAGTGTGTACAAACAACTTGGTGCGGATGTTCTTCCGTTCGAGCCCCACAACCGTCTAGCGTGCCCAAAACGACTTGGTTTGTATATTCTTCAGTTCAAACCTCATAACCGTCGGACCTCTAGTTCAGACACACCACCAATCGCATGTCTTACGGAAGGAAAGACTTGCGGGGAATCACCACTATAATTGTGCTAGCAATCTCGTGATGACAATTCTCTACACTCTCGATATTTCAGTCACGACGCCAGAAGAGAGAAAACATTTTTATCTCTCACGCACACATATTGCACTCTCACTTGCACTCTGTCTTCTGTTGCTGATTACACTTTATTTGGCCAACCAGCAACAGTTGCTGATCGCATGGGCACACTTCACACGATCGGCAACAGTTGCTAATCACAGGTGATGCCCACGGTGACCGTGGGTGATGCACACGGTCAGCAACTGTTGTTGACCGTGTGCATGCACCATTAATTTTTTTTAATTAAAACACACACGATGAGCAAATGTTGACCTTGTGCACTTTTAATTAATTTAATTTTATCAAAATAAGAGTGCAAGATCATTTGGCACATTAACATGTGTCCACTTTAGGTTTGCGTGTGCATCATATGCACGTACGCTCATGACTAAAAATAAAATAAAATAAAATTCCATTTAATTTAATTTCAGTCCGACTAATCGATTGCTATAATTGCAAACATATTTGCAATATTGTATCTCCCGTTCAACGTTATCCTAAATTGGTTATGGTGTGTGACATCCCTACGTTCATCACTGAGCTGATAGTAAGACTTGCACTAATGCATTAGTACTCCCAAGAAAATTGATTGTCCCCATCAATCTCTAGGTTCTACAAGCCACGATTGATATTTAACAATATGTCATGGTTACCTAGACAGTGTGAATGCTTTAAGAACATAATGAACCTGTTTGCTTTGGCTATAGTGTAATTCAATCCCTCTGTCTTACGACGTCTCGATCGAACAAAGACCATGGAGTATTTGTCAAGCCACCAATTCGATCATATGTACAAACCGAATTGACATGCATTTTATACGAGACATAAATAGTTTATTCTCGGTTACAATCCCGACCGAGGATTTCAATATAGTGTCAAGATTAGATCGCATAGGACATCATTATTATACCTTGCATGTATCAAGGAGACAAATTCCATTTTTGGCACACGTGTAACTTCGTATGTGAATAAACTGTGACCATCAAGTACAGAGACGGATCAACGAACCGGCAATATGCACACTTGTGAACTACAACCATCCAACACACAAGTCAACACTGTGCCTCAGGTCTAAGGATTATTTACACAAGATCAAAGCATGAACAATTAGACATTGACCACGCTAAGAGCTTCCATGTTGCTTATCGTTCTATGCGTGTCACGTTCAGTGAACTTGTTTCGTACAAACACCTATGTTCTAACTCGGGCATCACAATACCCAATAACTCGTGACTCATCATTCTCTTAAGTATCCAATACTTAATGGTGAAGCTAAGAACACACCGATCTCAACAGGATCATTAATATCCACTCAATGATCCATCGACCGGGAACAATTTAAAGATTTAGTCTAACTGTGAACCTGTCACACATGTTCTTAACGTCTCGAGAATAGATCCAGTCACAACTGGTCTTATGGAATCATTTATATATTTAAATAATTGGACAAATGAATGAATACGTCATTGCCATTAAATAAATAATGAAATTGATAGTACAACTTAAATTCCTAACATGTAACTATTACATGGTAACTTTAGGGTATACATTTAACAGATTATTCATATGAGATTTGGTTATGGATCGAGTTATGTTTATAATGGTACATATGTGGTGAATTTTTTCAGAAAGGGGTTGATATGGATCAATTTCGATGATGTGGAGGCCATTCCAGCCAAAGTAACTTATTCCAAGGGAAAACGGCTTCTTGGTTACAATGTGTTTCAGGTTAACAATAATGATCAGAACTGGGTTCTTTCCAGGACATGTTAGGACAACTACCTCACAGGAATTCTTGATGAAGGTTTTAAAATATTATTGTATTGAAAATGTAGAACTAAATGTAATTCATGGACTGAACTGCCTTGTCAGCTCAAGAAGCCGGTGAAGATCAGCAAGAAAGGCGATGGTTCCGGCTAGTTATGCTTATTTCGATTGCTATAGTTGTTCTCTTTATATTTGGCCTGATATGCAACTTACAGAGGAGAACATTGAAATCAAAAGGTACATTTTGTAAAGTTCACTGGAGGATTGCTATATCTCTGTGCTAATTGGGAACATTGACTTAGGATTCAACGAACAAAGGATTAAAGATTTTGTCTCAATTCTATTTGCTTTTGAGAGGTGCTAGAGGTGGCAAAATGGATCAAGAACCCATATTTTGACTCCTTTAATGGACCATCTTGAAACTATAATAAGAGTTTGGAATAGATTTGTCTATGGAGAGCCGGATTAAAAAAATGAAAATATGATATGCTTGGCTTTCCGTTTTTGTAAATTTCATAAGGAGATTTATCCAACAATAGTTTTAGAAAAACACGGTGGATGATATAACAAATAGCAGCAATAACTTCAACCCAAAAATAAGCAGGAACACACCTCTCTATCAGCATTGTCCAAACTATGTCTTGAAGAGATCGATTCTATCTCCCTACGATCCAATTTTGTTGTGGAGAGCAAGGAGAAAAGAAATTGTGCTCAAAACCATTTTCATTGCAAAACTTAGAATAGTTTTGATTTTCAAGCTCTCTTCCATGATCAATTTTTATAGAAGAAATGTTGTAGTCTTTCTCATTTTGAACTTTTCTTGCAAATTTCACTAAAGAATTAAATTCTATGTGTTTTTGAGATAAAAACATTATCCAGGTGTACCTGGAGTAGTCATCCATTAAGGCTAGTATTCCTTGTTGGTCCAAACAGGTCCATGAGAGGTGCTAGAGGTGGCAAAATGGATCAAGAACCCATACTTTGACTCCTTTTAATGGACCATCTTGAAACTATAATAAGTGTTTGGAATAGATTTGTCTATGGAGAGCCCAACTAAAAAAATGGGCTTTTAATGCGTGTGAAAGACCTATCTTTAAACCATTAATAACTTAATTTAGAGTTTGAGATTGTTAGCATCACTTAGACCCGACAGACAGACGGATGGGTCGTTTGGGTTTGGGTGGGTCGAAAATGGGTTTGACCCAACTTGATCCAAATAACCCTTATTGCTTCGATTTTTAATAATTATTCCTTTAAAATATGGGAAAAGCAATTTGAAAACAAATTAAACATGAAAAAACTTAACAAATGAGATAATTATTACAAAACCCATAGCTTGTTATTTTTCGTGGTGCTAGAAATTTGATCTAATTTAACAGAAGAGACAACGAATGAAGATATATATGATGTAAATTTCTACTCTTGTAAGTATTAAAATATTTTAAAATACTAAGGGAATCATTAAGATCTTGAGCTATTAGTGATGCTTAAATCGAATGTCAAGGAAATAACATGGAATAATCTATTAATTGTACACGTGTTTAATCATACAAATTTTGGAGGTGAGACTCCATATGTTTGTGGAATTGGACCAGCTCAGCCATGTCCTTGGTTTTGAAAGTAAGTGATGGTACTCTTCTAACTCCTTTATAATTTTCGCTTGCCCTTCGGCCCGACTCTGCCGTTGCAAGCTCGCGTCTGTCCGAGGCCACGATGTGGCCTGCAATCCAGCACCTCCCCCTCCAAGCTTGAGGGAGACACCCAACGGACCTCCTCGCGTCCGCAACCACCCCAGTTCCCATTTCTGTCTTCCACCACTTTCGACCCTAGCTGTGGCCATCACTTACCCCGCTCGACCTCATATCGAGCCAGATTCGAGGTCAACCCGAGCCATATAGCTCAGATCCAAGTCTTACTCAAGCTCAGATTTTGAGATCTAAAACTCGAGTGCGTCGCCGAGCTTAGGCTCAATGATACCAAGGACGAGCCTCGGCTGAGTGTATAGAGACCAGAGAGGACGGCATCAACCAAGAGCATTGGTGTTGGTGGTGGAAATTGGTGGTGGAAAGCGAAAGCTTCCACTTTCTCACTCTTATTTTTTTTTTGTTGAAAAAAATTGTATTCATTGCTCAAAAGAGTACATGAGATGTACATTGACTTTTATGGCAAAGAAAATCGAAGTAGAGCAAAACCCAGAATACAACAAAACAAAGCCAAATCCAGAAAACAAGAAAGATCAACAGAGCACCAGCAGAGTTAAGCGCATACTCATTCCATAAAAATGAATCTGTCAACCAAATAATTGGTGGCCGATTATTGGATCTCGTATCTTCATCAGTGATGAGCACATGCCAAAAAATCCTTCTCCAATAACTACGGCGTTGCCTGTTGGCGGTGCACACCTAGATTTGGCTTCCTTTACACCATCACCGTACAGAGACAGAAAACACAGATCTAACTTTTGGAAGAGCAAATTTTTATGGACCAGCTAGACGCCAAAGCTCTTATGATCATCATTGAAACTGGAGGCAGAAGACTTGTACACAAACAGAGGTATCGAATCTCTGAAAACATTATTAAACTCCTAAATCTAAATCGGGAGTGAAAAGCTCATAGATCTCTAATTAAATCAGGAGAGTTCAAACTCTTAGATCTAGAATTAGACCAGGAGAAGAGAGCTCCTAGATTTAGATAGGGAGAGAAGAAAAAAAAAACAAAAGGACTTAAACAAAATCAACGGGAGGGGAGGGTGAGACTAGCTCAAACCCTCTCACATTGCTGAAGCTTGACGAAGACGATGGAGAAAGAAGAGAGAGGAAAACTTTTTTCAATTAGTAATTTTTTAGGGGTCTAAATTAAGTTATTAATGGGTTAAAGATAGGTCTATCACACCCATTAAAAGCCCATTTTTTCAGTCGGGCTCTCCATAGACAAATCTATTCCAAACTCTTATTATAGTTTCAAGATGGTCCATTAAAGGAGTCAAAATATGGATTCTAGATCCATTTTGTCATATCTAGCACCTCTAGCACCTCTTATGGACCTGTTTGGACCAACGAGTAATACTAGCTTTAATGGAAAAAGGTAGTGCTTGGTTGTCGTGGATGACTACTCAAGGTACACTTGGGTAGCGTTTTTATCTCAAAAGCAAATAGAATTTAACTTTAGTGAAATTTGCAATAAAAGTTCAAAATGAGAAAGACTACAATATTTCTTCTATAAAAACTGGTCATGGAAGAGAGCTTGAAAATCAAAACTTTTCTAAGTTTTGCAATGAAAATGGTTTTGAGCATAATTTCTTTTCTCCTTACACTCCACAACAGCATTGGATTGTAGAGAGATAGAATTATCTTTTCAAGACATGGTTAGGACTATGCTGATAGAGAGGTGTGTTCCTGCTTATTTTTGGGTTGAAGTTGTTGCTGCTATTTGTTATATCATCCACCGTGTTTTTCTAAAACTATTGTTGGATAAAACTCCTTAAGAAATTTACAAAAACGGAAAGCCAAGCACATCATATTTTCATATCTTTGGCTGCAAATGTTATATTCTCAAGAATTCCAATGACAATATTAGAAAGTTTGAAGGAAGAGCAGATGAAGATATATTTCTTGGTTACTCTACTTCAAGCAAGACATATCGTGTGTTTAACAAGATTTCGCAAGAAGTAGAAGAATCTATAAATGTCAAATTCAAGGATAGCTTGAAAGGTGCACAACCTACTGGGGAAGAGGAACCTGTGCAGCTAATAACCCAACCGGTAACGTAAACCCAAGTCAACCGAAAGAAAATCCAAGCTCCAATCTAGCACCTTTACCGAGGAATTGGAGGTACAAATCAAGCCATCTTAAGGAAGAAATCCTTGGAGATGTAGGTGTAGTAATCAAGACCATATCTTCCTTCGAAGAGCTCATGAATTCCCTAGCACTCATTTTTTAAATAGAATCAAAAGGAATTGAAGATGACATTGTTGCTACAACTGGGTTGAAACAATGCAAGAGGAGCTTTATCAATTCAAAGTCAATGAAGTGTGGGAACTTGTTTCACGTTTTGAGGATCATCTTATCATCGAAACTAAATGGGTATTCGGAAACAAATGGAATGACAAAGGTAATGTTATTAGCAACAAGGTTAATTACGACGAGACTTATGCCCCTATAACTATACTAGAAGCAATTAGATTGCTACTGGCTTGTGCATGTTGTTATGATTTTAACAAAATGAATGTGAAAAATGTCTTTCTAAATGGTTATTAAAGAGAAAGTGTTCGTAAAGCAGCCATAATGATTTGAAGAACTTGGCAAGACTAGCTGTGTTTATCAGCTTAAGAAAGCTCTTTACGGACTCGAGAAAGCTCCAAGAGCTTGGTATGACAAGTTGCGTGCTTTTCTCGTTGAAAAAGGTTTTGAAAAAGGAAAAGTTGATACAACTTTATAATGCAAAAGAAAGATGAGGACATTCAGCTTATTCAACTTTATGTTGATGATATCATCTTTGGATTTATTAATGAGCTATTGTATAAATAATTTGCTAATATTATGCAAAACGAGTTTGAAATAAGCACGATGGGGGAACTGAACTTTTTTCTTGAACTACAAGTCAAGCAAACCAAAGTTGGAACTTTCATATTTCAAGAAAAAAATGCTAGAGAATTAGTGAAGAAGTTTGGGACTATGTAGCACGGACACGTTTAAGAGGCCGACGTGACGGTGTCCGACACGCGACACGCTCCAACACGTTCCAACACAGGGTCAACGCGTCAGACACGCCACCGACACGCGACTCCGTAATCCCGGTACACGATTCCAACACGCACGGGTCAATTTTATAAATTTTCAAAAAATTAGAGGTCAAAATGTAAATTTATAAAAAAAATAAAAAAGAAAGAAAGAAAAGGATGATAGAAAACCCTAGTCTTCTGTTTTCATCTTCATAGTATCTTCACTCGCGCTCTGTACTCCCTCCCCCTCTCGATTCGCGATTTCTCTCCTTCACTCCAACCAACAACATCCGCCGAGGAGGAGGCCTTGAAGAGGAACACCGATTGCGTCTATTTCCTCACCATTTCTCATCTTCTTTCTTCGCATCCTCCAAGCTCCGAATCCCCACCCTCAGACCCTGAACCCACCACCACCCTCCTCCGTTTCATGGATCAAGAATCCCTCTAGCAGACGGCTCCTCCTCATCTCCCTCCTGGCGCACACCATTATTATTTTTATTATTTATTTTTCCAAGACACGAAGTAAATTCTAGACTTTTATTATTAGCTATTTATTTGTGGATTTAAAT